TATTCTTCCTCAGCTGAATTTCAGCATGATCAACAAAGAAAACATCTCCAAAGTTGGTGGCTCGTATGCCTGAAATTCTGGCTCGTGGCGGTGGTGCAATGGAAGTACTACACACACGACACTTGTTGTACATGTCTTCATATTTCTTATAAACAGAGTCAGGAAGTCCTAACATGGAAGTCCTTCTTCTGAATTGAGTAGGAGACATGTGATAGTGTTTGATGTGAAGTTTGTACAATTCCACACTATCCTCCAGTTTCCTGAGCATCTTTCTGTATGCTGGTGTCATGGCTTGCACTTCACTACCGGGCAGTGGAACAGAAACTCGCCTAGGCTCAAGAGCATCACTACCTAGTTTCTCAATCTGACTTTCTGAATCTTGCTTACCTTTCTTGCTCGCAGGTGCAGAAGACTTGGATTCAATGACTTGAGGTTCATCAGTGTCGATTTTGTCCAAACCTAATTCCCTAGCTCTCTCGTCGAGTTCATCTTCCTCATCAAGCTTGGGATAGGAAACAACACCCTTTTTCTTTGATGAACCTGATCGAGAGTCATCGATCACCTGAGGTTTCTGCTTACCTACGTGTCGTTTGGCTGCAGGAGGACCTACCTCAATCTTTTTCAAGCTTGGTCCTCTAGCAATCGGTTTGCCTGCCTCTTTCTTTGAAGAGCTTGGCTTTGACTGTACACTCTCCTGGTTCTGAAGAGACTGAATCAGGATTGAAGAGATCATCGATGTTTCCTCGATAGGGCTTTGCTCTATCAAGATCACTTCTCACAATTTCATCAGGAATCACGTAGTCCTCCTTGATCTTGTAGATGGACTTGCCCTTCCAGAACTCTTCAGTCTGTTCAGAAAATCTCTTCCTCTCAGTGCGCCAGTTGTCCTTGTGAAGAACCTTCTTCTTGCTCTTCTGGAATTCCATATGTGTCTCTCTCTCATCAAGAAGTTGATCTTTTGGGATTGGAGATTTCTCTGATCGAGTCGTTTCATGTAAGTTCATTCTCTTGTCCTTGTGGTGCCTGATGAGTTCACGACGTAGTGGATCAACCTGCCAGTAGTCACCAGTCACCAGAGCTTCTTCATGATCTTCTTGTTCCACAGCAATCTGGCTGTACTCAAAGTGATCGTGTTGTGAAAAGAAACTCTTGACTTGTGGAGTCTTGAAATGAACTTGGCTCATGTACCATGCTACATCTTGTAAATCGAGAATGAGATGAGTACTAATGGCTGTCCTCAAAACCATTTTTCTCATGCCAATACGTGCACAGGACAAAAAAGCCTTCTCTGGAGTGAGTTCGAATTGAAATCCAAGGTTTCTCATCTGTGGAAGTGACATCAACAATGGGACATCACCTTCTTCGACAATGTCGAATTCTGTGAACTGAGTGTTCCATCCATTGTCATACATGAATATCACAAGTTTCTCAGTACACTTGGATTGTTGGGAATTTGCAAAGAAGAATCTTGAACTTGTTGGCTGTATTTCATACCAGAGTCCACTGTTGGGATGTGAGTCAACATATCTGCAAAATGCTTCAACTGCTCGTCGAGAGCCCATAGCTCTTGTGCATCCAAGATCCAGGATACATACAGTTGGTGGTGCAGAATTCTCTGTGTGAAAAGCTAGTCCTTTCTCACATGCCGGATCAGGTTGTACGGTATGAAATGAAAAGGCGTTCTGCTGCTCATCTGATGTCTTTTTCTCTGAAAAGCCTTCAGAAGAAGATGGTGTCTCTTTCTCTAAAGAGTATCCATGTGAAAGCAGAGCCATGCCTTTTGCCAACGGCTTCCATGAAGCCTCACCTTCTTGTAGACCAACTTGTCGAGGCACACGTACTGGTCGTCTTTGTACTCCTGGTCGAAGTGCATCAAGATCTCCAACCAGAACAGGGAACTTCTTGAGTTCATCTCTGTTGCGCTGTGCTGTTGCATCACGTTGGTTCTGTCCTCCACGTCGGGTGCGACGATGTACTTCTTGTTCTGCACACGTGGATGCCAAGGCATCAACACGTGCTGGTTCTGTCTCTGCAAATGCAAAGAATCCATGACCAGAGCTTGATGTTGCAGAAGAATAATGAGCTTGTTGCGTTTGTTGATTCTGTACGGCAGGAGTTGATGAGGTCTGAGGTTGAACATAGTTCGATTTGCCTTTTCCATCTCCTGGCTTTCCTCCTTTGCCTTCATCATCCTTGCCTTTCTTGCCTTTCTTTCCTTTTCCTTTTCCTTTTCCTTTTCCTTGTGACTGGAAGTATCCATACTCATCAATGTAGTACAAATCATCATAGGCCCAATAGCCTTCATTCCAGTTTTGATCATCGGCCCAATAGCCGTCATAGGAGTCATTCCATTCATCTCCTTCTTGCCATTCATCATCATATCCTTCTTCACTCACCATGTGAGAGCGGCCTTTTCTTCTTCCTTTTCCTCGGCCGTTTCCTTTTCTTGATCGGAAGAATCTTCTTCCTCCTCTGCCTTTACCTTTTCCTTTTCTCTTTCCTTTACCTTTACCTCGTCTGGTTTGTCTGCCTTGGAACCTTCTTTGATACCATGTGTATTCAGCATCATCATATACCCAGAAGACATCTTCTAAAGCATCCAGGAATCCTTCTGCGCCGTCTTCATCATCTTCGGCCCAATAGCCGTCGGTTCCTTCAAGGTCACCTTCATCCAGTACGAGAAAAGATCTTCTCTGCGCCATGCCAGAGGGTTGCATCATTGGATTGTCAACTGCTGTTTTGGTAGTGCAAAACATTTCCAAAAACAGGTCACGTAGTTCTTGTATGTTGTACTGATCGAGGGTTCGTCCACGATGTGTCATGATACTTGTGAGTGTGTTTCTCTGATCTTGAGTCAGGTCAGCTAGACTTACCAAAATCAATGCTAGCAAATTTTCACCCAATGGGAATGCTGCTCTCTGCATTTGTCTACGATGCTCATTATACTGCTTGAATGCCATCAATGATAGCTCATCTGACCATGGTACCACGACGTGAGGAGCTGCGCCTGGTGTCCCTGCTGCGAGTTCAGCTCTGTCTGTTTGATCTCGTTCATGTTCTAGTCGTTTCTGCTGAATGAACAGGATTGCTTCAGGACTAGTGATCACTACTTCTGGAAGTAAATCCATCCAAGACTCAATAAGTCTGTTGCCAGTGAGTTGAAATCTAGCCATCCACTTCTGAAGATCCATTGTTCCTCTGTTGAACTTCATGAACTGCATGAAACGGTACAAGAACACGTTCTGGGCACCTTTGATGAAATGAGGACGTAGAAAACCTTTGAAATAGTTCACTCCTTCATTGGGATCCCTGAGCCTTTCTCTGTCCAATAGTCTCTTGTACTGCTGAGCCTCACCTTCCAGCCTGTTTCTCAACGCTGGTCCACGCTTCTCAGGTTCCAACTCCGTGATGTCACACCAGTCATCGATTGCATCTTCAAAGGCAAAGAAGCTGGTTCTCCCATCATATGCTGGAGCTACCTTCGTGGTCATCTGCTGCGTCATATGGATCTGTGTCTGCTGGGGGGCTCTTCTCATTGCGTAAGAGTCGTATTGGTTCCACTCTGCATCGACAATGTCGAAGTCATCTTCATTGCCATGGCTTGCCATTGCGTTGGGCTCTTTCCTGGAGCTCACCCTCAATGAGGGATCACAGCTCCGCTACCACTTGAAGAGGGGAACTAGCGTCTAGTATAGATCAGCTAGAACGTCTTCCCAGGACGGCTTCACACCCTTTTACTCTCGGCGTATTGCCAGTCAGCGTGGCGTCCACAGGGTTACTCCATATCCCTCTTGAGCCTTGAAGGAGGCGCATATAAAGGTGCTCAATACTCATGCACAGTACCTGGTAGGTATTAAGTTTAAACAAAAACAAGGGCGCAGCACCTCCCCCCGCAATGCGTACCAAGAAAGAAGTACATCGGCACAAATCCCGATGGATATCACTAAAGATACAATGAACCTAAATAAACGATGATGCTCATGAAAAAACAAAAGCATAGTAGGTAGCAAGGGGAGCCGGTTAAAAAAAAAAAAGCAGGTGGGGGGTGCAGGGTGCGCCATCCATATGATAAAGCCAGAAGCCAAGTGAAGCCAAAGCCAAAAGCCAACAGCCAAAGTGAAGCCAAAGCCAAAAGCCAAAAAGCCAAAAGCCATGGCCCAAAAGCTAAACGCCAAAAAAGCCAAAAACCAATAATCAAAAGCCAAAGGACCAAAGTGAAGCCAAAAGCAAAAGCCAAAAGCACAAAGCCAAAAGCCAAAAGCCAAAAGCTAAAAAGCCCGAGCAAAGCCAAAAGCCAAAAGCCAAAAGCCAAAAGCCAAAAGCCAAGTGGGCGCTCAAATGAGGGATTCTAGCTCCAAAATGCATGCAAAACACAGATTTGAGCTCCAAAGAGCAGCAAATAGCAGGGAAAGCTGCTCCAGACTGAAAAACAAAAAACATCCTAAAAAAAAAAAACATTCCCAAAAAAATATACCCTCCCTTTGTTTGTTGGCACACATGATCCACAAGCAATGGCAATAGCGATTAGACTTTAGCTTGGGGGAGGGCTAGAACCGTGCGTTTTTTCACGTTTTTGAAGTGGTCTTAAAATCGGCTAAGTTGCCCAACATGGGCCCAACATAGACCCAACATGGCCCAGCATGCCTCAAGATAGGCCCAATATGGGCCCAATGTACAGCCAGCATGGGCCCAACATACTCCCAAAATGCACCCTACAAAAGGCCCCGCGTAGAATTCTTCACCCCATGTGGGGATGCTTCGTAATGAGAATCTGCTTCTGAATGGGTAAGCCATCAAAATTTGGAGACCAAAAGATCCACAGTGTCTCGAAAATTGTTCTTTTCAAGTATATCAACCCCCCAAAAAAAATAGAAATGTAAAATCCTACTAAAATAGTATAGTTTTGACAGTAGTGAGTTATGTTTCTATCTTTTTGGGGGTTACTAGATTATCAAAATGATGAAACCATCCCATGTTCAGTGTCAATCCGTTCAAGCCACAGCCAATCCGCAAGCCAATCTTTGAAGATTGCTCTCGCCTGCGGTCGCTTCTGGCAGGCCAGAGGTTGGCTTCGCAAACGACTTAAATGGATCTTTCCAAAAACTGGAGATGGAGGGCAATTGTGTTAGGTGGAAAAGGATGAAAAACCATCGGATGGAATGGGCTACTGCGGCTACTGGCTACCCAATCTTCAGGCAAACTTCAATAACTGCAACTGTGGCAAAAACGCTGAATGGTGGTAGGGGTCAAAACCCTGGTGCCACCCTGGATTTTCATCCCCCCGTCTTGGAAAATCAGAGGTTTTGGCCTATCTTAAAGAACTCTCAAGTGTCCACAAGGCATGACTTTTTGCATCTCTTTGCAACCAATGCTTTTTGCGTCCAAGCTACGACTATACGCACTTCGAGCGGCACTGAGAGGGACTGCTCCCAACCACTTGATATCCTGCAGGACTATCTCGACGCCTACAAGGTAGCCTGAGCACTGATCAATTGATCTCGAGGTGGTTGCATCCAAACACCCTTATTGGTCTGCCTCAGCTTCCATACATCTTCACAAATTTCACAAAGAAAAGCACATGTACACACTTTGCAATGTCGCTGTGTCGGCAGAGTCGCTGGTTTTCAGCCAGAGAAAATCTGGCATGCTCAGTCTGCTGCATACTGCAGCGATGGATTTAAATCAATCATCATCATGTCATCAGCTGCCAAAGATGCTCCTTCCGACACCTAGCCAGCTCACTCCGTGGCTTCTGTCCAAACATGGATGGATACCCATTAATGTTTGTCTCGGAGCTAGGAGGTTCTACCTCTGAAGATGTTGAGTTTTCATGGCTGAAGACCAGGCTCGGAGGTCATCAGTTTTTAGGTCGTATTGCAATATCCTTGATTTATCTTTTCGAGTCTATCTTGATTTATCTTTTTTATCTTGATATATTTCTCATTTCCTGGTCTCACCCTATCAGCCATACTTCGAAGACATGTGGCCCCACAGCTGTCCCGCTTCAGGTTGGCTCAGAATATCGGTATGTCGTGGCTGTCGTGTCCATCAAAGCGCCGGCAGCTTAGCGCCCAAAATTGGAGTGCAACTCGCACTTCAAAAGTGTGCCAGGCAGGTGCCAGGCAGGTGGTGCTATATTGGTGTTGATTTTGTCAGCTTGGTTGCTGGTATCCTGGAGGGGTCGCAAGCTCTTGATGGAAGAAATCTTGAAGTTGCAACTGTTGCAACTCCCACTTGTAGACAAAAATTGCCAGTTGCTGTCTCCGTGGCAACTGCCCAGCCTAAGGAATTTGAAGCAAGGCCATTTCATTGCAGGTCGAGGTTGTTGCAAACCATTCAGGGGTCCAAAGCTTGAATGCAAGGAACCTAAGTGAGTGCAAGTGACCTAGAAGCCGCAAAGCTGTGCTTTCCTTCCGTTGCAATTTGCCATGCTCACCTATTTTGCGATCTCACCGGAACGGAACTAGCGAACTGAAGGTTCCAAACCAGGCAACACCACTTCCAAACGTTGTTGCTTTTCGGCGGTTTATCATGTGGGGGTTGACCAAAATTATGGTACCCGAAAACTGCCCTTCCGCCGCGCTTTCGCGAACCTTTCGCGCCCTTCCGCGCCCCAGCAGAATCGGGACATGGGATAGGGTTTTCGTTTATTTATAGGTTTATAAAGAGTGGTATTCAGACCTTTCGCGAACCTTACGCCACGCTTTCGCGGCCTTTCGCCACTGCAGCAAAACATAAACATCCTTATCTGCAGATGTCACTCGGATACTAAAAGCCTTGCATGGGTTTTAGGACGACTCCCACGTGACTCTTTTAAATTCTGAACAATGCATAGCCTTTGTTGTGCCTGCAATCAGCCTTCAGCAATTTCTGTGCTTGTACCCCTCAGCATGCATTCTAAAGTGCAGTCTTAAGGTCACCTATTTTGCGATCTCACCGGAACGGAACTAGCGAACCGAAGGTTCCAAACCAGACGTTGCTTTTCGGCGGTTTATCATGTGACTCAAGTAGCTATCGCTTGCTCAATGGGTTACCCCATTCGATTAACCAATCGGGTGCAAAAAGGACCATGCAACTCGCCCTGACTACGACCCAAAATTGGTAAGCTTGGACCAAGTCCTGTAGCCTTCGATCCGCAAGGCACGGCAGGTCACCATGGTCTCGGCAAATTCATGCTTTGGAACCGATCCAAATAGCCAATGTTGACACGGATACAAAAAGAAGTTGTTGAAATAAACCGAAAAAAAGCCACGCTCTGCCAGCGTTTCTGGGCCTTAGACATGCATCCAAACCCAGGAGCAAACCGGCACCATTTGTCAAGTCCTCGTGCGCCATATGGCCTTGCTGTCGCAACGAACGAACCCTCCCAAAGAACAGAAGCTGCCAGAAATTGCAGTCTGTCCTTGCAGTTTGTGGCGCAGACATGCCAAGCAGCAGTTTAACACAACAGCATTGTATTTGAGCATGCGAGCTTCCGCTGCACAATTGCATGTCTTGTTTCAACCTTTGGGCCAGAACTGGTGTGTCTAGAATTGCAATGACGTAGGCAAAGCAGAATCACTACAATGCAGTAGGTCATTTGCAGACTTTTAGAATGTCAGCATCTGGAACTCCGGACGAGTGGGAGCTGCAAGTACATCTGTGAGGAAGGAAGTGGCCCAAACTCAGCTGCATTCTGGGAAGAGTGTGCCTTTGGCATTGCTCACGAAGCTATCACTTACTTTACTAGCCTACACGAAGCATGACAAGAGCCAATCAAATTCAGCTTGGAGCAAATTCCAACCACAGCAGCATAATCAAGAAGAGTGTGCCAAACAATATGTTGGATGCGTCAGCCAGATTTTACTTCCTGGCTCAATTCTCGTTTGCGCAGCTGGCTCTTTGGGTCTTTTAAATTCTGAACAATGCATAGCCTTTGTTGTGCCTGCAATCAGCCTTCAGCAATTCCTGTGCTTGTACCCCCCAGCATGCATTCTAGCCTGCAGTCTTAAAGTCACCTATTCTGCGATCTCACCGGAACGGAACTAGCGAACTGAAGGTTCCAAACCAGGCGACACCACTTCCAAACGTTGTTGCTTTTCGGCGGTTTATCATGTGACTCAAGTAGCTATCGCTTGCTCAATGGGTTACCCCATTCGATTAACCAATCGGGTGCAAAAAGGACCATGCAACTCGCCCTGACTACGACCCAAAATTGGTAAGCTTGGACCAAGTCCTGTAGCCTTCGATCCGCAAGGCACGGCAGGTCACCATGGTCTCGGCAAATTCATGCTTTGGAACCGATCCAAATAGCCAATGTTGACACGGATACAAAAAGAAGCTGTTGAAATAAACCGGAAAAAAGTCACGCTCTGCCAGTGTTTCTGGGCCTTAGACATGCATCCAAACCCAGGAGCAAACCGGCACCATTTGTCAAGTCCTCGTGCGCCATATGGCCTTGCTGTCGCAACGAACGAGACCTCCCAAAGAACAGAAGCTGCCAGAAATTGCAGTCTGTCCTTGCAGTTTGTGGCGCAGACATGCCAAGCAGCAGTTTAACACAACAGCATTGTATTTGAGCATGCGAGCTTCCGCTGCACAATTGCATGTCTTGTTTCAACCTTTGGGCCAGAACTGGTGTGTCTAGAATTGCAATGACGTAGGCAAAGCAGAATCACTACAATGCAGTAGGTCATTTGCAGACTTTTAGAATGTCAGCATCTGGAACTCCGGACGAGTGGGAGCTGCAAGTACATTTGTGAGGAAGGAAGTGGCCCAAACTCAGCTGCATTCTGGGAAGAGTGTGCCTTTGGCATTGCTCACGAAGCTATCACTTACTTTACTAGCCTACACGAAGCATGACAAGAGCCAATCAAATTCAGCGTGAATAAATCTTCAACCACAGCAGCATAATCAAGAAGAGTGTGCCAAACAATATGTTGGATGCGTCAGCCAGATTTTACTTCCTGGCTCAATTCTCGTTTGCGCAGCTGGCTCTTTGGGTCTTTTAAATTCTGAACAATGCATAGCCTTTGTTGTGCCTGCAATCAGCCTTCAGCAATTCCTGTGCTTGTACCCCTCAGCATGCATTCTAGCCTGCAGTCTTAAAGTACAGGAACACTTGACGCCGTAGCAATGCAAGTAGCATGTGCAAAACTCTGTTGTTTGTCAAAGCGCTGCGCATCATATGAGTCATATGGCCTTGCTGTCGCAACGAACGAACCCTCCCAAAGAACAGAAGCTGCCAGAAATTGCAGTCTGTCCTTGCAGTTTGTGGCGCAGACATGCCAAGCAGCAGTTTAACACAACAGCATTGTATTTGAGCATGCGAGCTTCCGCTGCACAATTGCATGTCTTGTT